TAGTTATTGATTTCTTCAAAATTGAGCTTCTCTTACAAATTAAATCGATGGGCTTCAAAGTCAAAAAATGATTGATTTCATTAAGCTGTTTTTTATTTAAGGTTATTGTAATATTTTATGCTAAGATTGGCGTACAATTTTTGCTTGTTTCAAATTGACTGAATACCTTCGCTTGTATGTACAAAATATCAATAAATCACCAACTTAATCAACATCGATAGAAAAAATTAACAGTTGACGTAGGTGCTCAAAAAATTATTCAAACTATCGCTATTAAATTTATCAAAAAAAAATGAATTAATTGTCTTAATTCTATGTTTCACATGCAAGCAGTATGTGGGCATCTAATATAACTAAAGGTATTGATTATTCAGAATCATTAATATCTTTTGATCCTCAATCCTTTTTTTGAAAAGTTATTAATTTATTGAATCTATATAAATGCACATAAAAGAAAATAATTCAAACACTCATGTTCTCGAATAAGTTTTTCTGTTTCAATTTCAATTTACAACATTTGAGTGTACTGTTAAGTCATTATCAATACGTACATGATCCATAATATGTAATAAAGTTTTAGCTTTTTACATGATGGATAACAATATATTAATTATATGAAATCACTTTTATGCATTAATAAATACAAATATAAATCATCCAAAAGAAAATAAATAGTTTTATTAATAAATAATTTTTTTTGTTCTTGTCACTTTACATATATAATATTTGGGTCCATCGTGAAATTATGATCAATGGTATTTATATTGGACAAGTCAAATTTAATAACTTTCTTAATATGCAGCAATTATATAGTCATTTATGGGATCAACTTTTTATGTTCACAAATAAAAACCTAAATAAATGAAATGAAAATAAATATTGACTTAATACATGAACAAATTTAAATATATTTTTTTTATTTAACATAACAACATTATTTTATTTGTGTTTTCTTTTCGTTGATTTGTATTATATATGCTAATGTATGATATCTATTATTTGAATTATAATATAATTATTGAACATTTTAAAAACTAGACTTTGATTTGACTTTATGACTAATTGACTTAATGTTAGTATTGTAAGAGATGCTATGCATAGATACATATAAATATCAATAAACAAAAATAAAATAAATAAGATTGTTTTTAAAGAAGTTTCTTTTTCTTTTTTCTTTTCTATTTTATAACATTTCGATCTAGTACAAAATCATTATCAATAAATATTCATATCTAATCAATCAAATTTTACAAATTTTTCAATATCCAAGGTTTGTAAAGTAATTTACGGAATCGATTCTATGTATAGACATAAATAAATATAAATAAAGAAAAAAAATAATGTTGTTGTTGAATAAAGTATATTGATATTCACTCATGCATGCAAATGATTATACTTTTCTACTAGTGTATAGTTATTGAAAATATGAAATATATAACTTTATTGGTCTTTGTATATGTCTACTTCGATAATAACTTCGAAATAGTTCAACTGGTTGTAAAATTGAAAACTAAAAATAAAAACTTATTTAATATCAACTCTATGGATTTGTTTTTGTTAATTTTTTGTGTTCATACGTGTATGAATGAAATTATTCGAAGTTTTTCTGGACAACTTTGTTTTGCAATTTTTCAATTGTTGAATTTGATTCACTTAAGAGAATTATATAGATATATTTGTGTATTTACAATTTTTGTCTTTTTACATTTATTTGCGAAAAGATCGCATTAGAAATGAATTTTACATGGCAGGAAAAAATATTTGATAATGCATTAACATATATGATTCTTAACTAACTGAACAAGCGAACGAAGCAAAGCAAGAAAGAAAAAAAAAATAGTATATGCTGCTATAAAGTAGTAAAATTATGAGAATTCATCCAATAAGATTTCTTTCCGATATAATTTCTCTTTCTAATAATTTTTAAGTTATAGAAAGAGAAATAGCTATGCAATATTACGATAAAAAACAACACAGTTGTAACGCCAAAAAAAACTTTAACTGATTGTTGAAACTTTATCATAAAATATACAATCGAACTAAGATAATATTTATAAAAACAAATTACGACTACGATTATCTAATTTTCAATTTGTTTATAATCTTTAAGTATTTTTAAAAAGTTTAAATATTTGAACAGTAATGTTCAGAGCAACATTTTTAAAAGAATTATTCTTTCTCTTTCTAATTCATCGACAACTGTCTTTTTTGGATTGTATATTTTTTAAAAATAGTTTATAACGTTTTTATCCAGTCAACGGTTTGTCAATCAATTAAATTTTTCATGTGTCTGACTGTATTGAAACGTGCTGTCTATTCGATTGGTTATTTTGTGTTTACATAGGGAAAGAAATATCTTCTTATTTTTCTGATGAATTAAATCAGCAGAGCAACGAAACAAGTATAGTTTGTAGATAACTAGAAAGTTCTCAAGCGAAATATGGAAAAAAATTTGTCTAATTTTCGTTATTTACATCGACTTGTTCAATGTAGTTAATGAATAATACATTTAATTGAAGAAAGACTGCATCCATAAATATAAAAATATCTTCTGCATTTTTGTTTAATTTCAGAATGCCTGCTATACAGCGAAACGATTCTACTGTCTCATCAGCTTCTACTGTTTGGGGACATACGAATGTTACACACTTTATTGTTCAACATTCAGATAATGCAAAAATCCGAAAGATTGTTCATATGAACAAAATTCTGAATCCATCAAATCGTCGATTAAAGGTTGGTGATGACTGTACATTGAAAGGTGACGGTCGTAATCATACACGTGTGAAGATTCTGTTTTGTGGTAAGTTTATCATTTATGTGTTTCAATCTGTTTACACTCTTATTTGAATGATTTTGAAGGCGATTTAGATACTTGTCAACATCAACTTGATATAATTGGTGAATCAGAGATCAACGATGGTACCGATCTATTTTTATAAAATTTTTGATTGTAAATTCAGTTCTTAATTTAGATTCGACATCGGCAATTATTTCTTCCAAAAACGATGCATTTAACAAAAAAGGCTCGAGTCCATTGGGCGAAAACATGGTGAACAAGTGTATTGCTCGAAGTAAGAAATTATTTTTTTAGTTTTTTGAATATATATTACACATTTTTTACCTTTTGTCTTCATAGCAATCAACTCGGCACCTAAGGCATCACCAGTTCAGTCTAAAAATGTACAAGTTCCAAGTTCTTTTAAAGACTCAGGAACATCTAAAGCCGTTACTCACAAAACAAAAAATAAGAAAAATTGCAAATCTTATGAACAGGAAATTGGTAAATATAAGCAATTAAATGACTTATCATAAGGCTTATATTCTTTCTTTGAATAACTAGATATGCTTGGAAAAGACGATGACATTCACCATTCGAAGGAAGTATCGACTGTTACAATGTCCCAGTCTCGTAATCCAGTACAATTACCAACATCGAATACTTTTGTTGCACGAAATGTGTCTAATCAAGTATTGACACAGAAATCTTCTAAACGTAAGACAAGATTTTTTCTTGTATTATTTTTACATCTAATGCTTGTATCATCATCTATTCCAGAAGGACATTTTGATGCGTCTTCTTCTCGTGATTCAATGAATTACGGGATGGATTTTGAAACATTGGATTCCAATAAGAAACAAAGTACAATGCGACAGGATGATGGTAAAATAAATAGTCTTTCATATAATTCGCTGTAATTTTTGTTTGACATTCTATTGTTAATAGGTAATGAAGATGCTGATATAGCTGCTGAGCGTTCAGGTTAGTTGATAATTTAGCTATCTTTCATATGATGATAAGTGAATCTTGTTTCTCTTTTTCTTAAATCTAGCCAATGATGAATTATTTAATTTGTCAAATGACAAATATGATGATGATTGTGGCATTTTGGAGGATTCTGAAGCAGACCAAACTACAACAACTAATGGTAAATCTGCTGAAAAACAAGTGAAGAAAAGTGGAACATATGATGAGTTACTAGTCAAATACCAAAACTTATCTGAGAGATATAAACGTTTGAAAAATCAAGTAACATATTTACAAGAACAAAACGAAATGTTAAATGCGACGATGTTACGTATGTGATGAATTAATTCTTCTTCCTATTTAACAAGATAGCTCATCATGCTTACTTTTTTAGCTATGCCTCCACCTGAAATTCAACAATGGTTTGTGCATACTGCACAACGGTTTGAGAACAAACCATTATCAGGAACTGTTCTTAGAGGCTTCAGTACAGCATTGGACGTACCAGTCAATATATTAATCTCATTGAAACAAAATACTGGAACTCTTACTGCACGAGCTATCGTTCGTCATTTATTTCCATCTAAAAGTCGTACAATGGATGACATGACTGACGATATTCGTCAATCGATTCTTGGTAAAAAACAAATTTTATTTATTTTTAATTTTAGAATGAATAATTCTATGCTTCTTTAGATTTTGTGAAATACTGTCATCCGAATGAATTCTTTGTTCGAGGAAAAATCAATGAAGCCATCAATGGTCCATTCAGAACAGCCAAGTTTAAGGCATTGCATGCAGCAAATGTTTAATATGTCTCATGAAACAATGATCCTTATTTGAAGCCTTACAAATATATTAGTTCCAGTTGCAACAGAGATACTATTCAAACTCTATTACTTTAGGCATTTATGAAAAGATTTTCTGTTTTTTCATGTGTCATTGTAATTGGTGCGTTTTCACAATCAAAAAACTAAAATAAAAGAATAAATAGCTATATTTTATTGATTCTAGTTACAGAGTATTGTCTCAAAATTATTTGTATCTATTTTTACGCATGAGAAATGTTGAGTTGATATGCTAAAATATGGTGGAAACTACTCAGTTTTAGATAAAATTTTAGATATGTGGTCTACTAGTACCATCCAAAGAAGAAGAAAACGATTAAAGAAAAACTTATACCTGTTTGACAATACTTTTCAGTGTCAAGCTAGTGCAGAAGTATCATCAATGGGTATACAGTGATCTCAATTAAGCTGATTGCATATACATTGGTCAAGTTATTTTCTATTTAGTTACAGAACAAAATGAACCAGTAACTGAAGTAGATGCCAACATTGAGACGCATTCGTTACATGAACTCGAGTATGAAGTTTCAATTCTTTCTTTCATCATCACCAATTGAATCAATTTTCTTTTAGTAATCATGAAAATATGGAGAGTGATTCAGAATGGATCGATGACAACGTATCAGAAAAAATATTTGATGAACAGTAATGAAAAAGGCTTTTTCAATTTCTAAACTTCATTGCAAGCAGACAACTATTGCCTATACAAGAATTGAGTTGAGCTTTCCATGTTACAATTAATTATCAACGTAGTTTCAATTAATATTTTGCGACATACATAATTTTGTTTATTATATTATTATCAATTGCTTTTGTTTTTCATTTTGCTTTAGAATAGAATATGAACGATTGAAGTTCATAAGGAGAAATCTGACGAAACTGGAAATAGCTACTGCTTTAATCATTCTCAAGTTACGCCACAAATTGACAACGAAGGCGATATCTGATATTTGCCTATTTTTACGTTTATTTCGTGTGTCGAATGTTCCCAAAAGCTATGCAGCTGTGAAGCGTGTTTTGGAACAAAAGGCAACAAAAAATATTAAATCAGATATATTCCAAATTTGTCAGAATTGCAATAAGGTTTATCAAAATGTATGTGGTAATACACAATGCTGCTCCGATGTGTCTCAAGCACAATCTCCTGCTTTTCTTAAATTTCAAGTTAAAGATCAAATTCATTCAATTTTAGCATCTGAAAATAATTTTACTTTACATTCTTCGTCATCTTCATGTTATAGTAATTGTATTACTGATATTCAACATGCTAATTGGTATCAATCTATTGCTTTAAATGAAGATACATCGAATTTTATTACATTATTTTTAAATGTCGATGGAATATCTATGTCTGATAGCTCAGATAATAGTCTTTGGATATTCACTGTAAGCTGACTATAAGTTTCAATTTCTATTAACGCATTTGTAATATGTTTCATTTTCTAGTTCATAATAAATGAGATCAATAGAACTCATCGTTATAAGCTACAAAATTGTATATTTGGTGGTATATGGCCAGGACCGAAGAAGCCTAGTAGAGAGCAAACATATGCTATGCTAAAATCGATGACAGATGAATTGCAACTTCTAGAAAATGAAAATGTCTTCACCATTAAAGCCCTAGGAAATCAAATGGTGAAGCTCAAAGTGTTTCTTATTGGAGCGACATGTGATAAGCCTGCACAGGCTATCGTTCAGAATGTAGCCGAGCCTATCGGCAAATTCGGTTGTGGTCGTTGTGAGATACCTGGTAGGAATCATTCTATAAATCGGGAAAGTATAATAATTTTTATTTCATTCATTCTAATATTAGTTTAGTAATATTTTCATGCACAGTCCAGGGATTTCTCTATTTACTTTGTTGTTCATCAACAGTAAGAGTATAATAATTGCAATGTGAGGTATCTCCTTTATTTAGAATTTCTTGAAAGTACAGGTTGAATATTTGCTGTTGACCACAACAAAAGAAAAGAGATATTGAACACAACAATGAGACAGGTTGAAATTCTGCCCTACGGAATCTATTAGATTTGCATTTGCACAAAATTCTTTGACTTCCAATTTCATCGTTTAAATGTTCAACAATTTGACTTTTTCAGAATTTTTTACCTTTTTGTTTGTCTAAGATTATAAAATTACAACAGGTTGCTGTTACCAATAAGATTTTTAAAAAAGTTTCCTTTCAAAGTGATTGTCAGTAAATAATTGTGAAATAGATTGAGGTATAACATTCTAACCTAATAAGATGGAAGATATTTTGCTGCTTTTTAGCACTCAAGTGTGCATAAGTTCAATTAAAAGTCTGCTTAATTATGATTTTGATACATTCCATTGCTAAATGAAATCTATTGATCAGAATCCATAGTTCAAAATTACTTCAAATTATAAGTGTTCATTTAATGTTAGAAAATATTGTTTTAAAGAAGCATAAAGAGAGATTTGTCTTACAGCTTTCTAACATTATCAAGTGACAAAATATCTTTTACTGGCTTGCCGATATTCTAGTTGATTATAGATTAATTTGATGCTTTTATTTCTCTTTTAGGCATCACCGTTCCTAGTCGTAATGGTAGCAATCATCATATACGGGTTTTTCCGTTATCTTCAACATCTCGTAATGAACCAGAATGTCGATCAAACAAGAACTATGACAGAATTATGGCGTTGAAAAATGCAACTGATCAACAAAGAAAAGGATACTTGGGTCTATGCGCATTACGGTCATTGAAGTATTTCGATGTGGGCAAGTCATTTCTTACAGACTCACTCCACAATCTTTATAGTGGTGTAATGGTGAATATATTTTTATCTTAGTTAATTAGAGCATATAGCAATGTTCAGCGACCATGTTCGATGATTTTTCAATATGACAATCAATAGTACTTTGTTGAGGGATAATTCATCTTGAATTAGTTAAAGAAAGCCACTTTAATTCTTTATTTTCTCCATTTATGTAGATTTCTTGAAAAATATATCTCTTGAAAAAAAATAGAATTATTTGATGCATGAAACCGAATTTCATTTCATTTTTTTTTATTAAGAAAAAACTACTTAAGTTGTGGTTTTCCGATGATTACAAATGGTCGGATTGGTCCAGTTTCACAAACTTTGATATTGTTAGTGAAAAGCTAATCCAATATCGATATCCATCAACAACGAGCAGAACTCCAAGACCAATCGTTAAATTTCATCGGTTTAAAGCAAATGAATTTCGTTTGACTTTACTCTTTGCAGCACCAGTATTAAAACATTATTTAAAACCAGCCATTTTCAAAAATTATCTATTGTTGGTGTTTGCATTGCATCTTGCCGAGTCTCGTTCACTTCAATATGAAGATATTGATGATATTCGTTTTTTATTAGGTAAGATAAGCTATTGTTTTATGAATTAGTCTAATAACGAAAAATTGGGGTTCATTGATCAATTTTCAAAATTTATGTCAGAAAAACTTGCTAACATTTTAGACTGATGTTTTGTTCATTGGTCACTTTAATAAGATGTTCAAAACACAAAAAATAATTGTTGCTATTGTATGTATAGCTTTTCTCACGTCTTTTAGTCAGTGAAAAATAGAAGTAGAACAACAATAGTTGTACATAAAGTTTTCACATTAAAGAATGATTTTGTATCCAGCATTTAAGTTGATAAGGAAGTAAAAATCAATTCGAAATTTGAACAAGTTTTTTCAAATAACTTTGCAAAAAAAAATGAATCGACTCCTATTTTTCGTTGTTTAATTTATCAGATGTCTTTCTACATCAGTAAAAAGTGTATTTAAACATACATATTTTAGATACATTTTTACATGAATATCCATCATTGTATACTAATCGACATAATCAACAAGTGATACACAGTGTTCATCATGTTGCACAAAGCGTGCAGGACTACGGACAGTTATCAAACTATTCAACATTTAATTTTGAATCTGTTCTAGGTAATGGAAAATTTTTATATTTTCTTTTACCGTCTTTTGGTGAACTTTAGGCATGCTACGATCAACTGTTCATAGTACAAAACATCATGCTGAAGAAATAGCTAATACAATGAACCTTCTTCATTTGGCTATTCACAATACTCTTTCAGATGACTTCAATAATGAGCTTAGAAAGATGTTGGAGGAAGTTCAAGCAAAAAAACGAGTTTCGAAGACTGTTTCATCCGTGTTTCTAACGAAACATCACATAATTAAAGTTCGAAAGAAACAAATAATTGAAGAACGTCAGTACAAAAATATTCAACACGTTTTTTCCAGAATAATTAGATGCTGTAATGAAATACTGTGAGACGCTTCCCCAATGCATGCGTTTTATATCGTTTTTATAAAACCATGTGTATAAATTTCGTTCTGCGACGTTTTTTATCTAAGCACTTGGAAAACGCGTTTAAGAACTTAGTGCGTTTTGCAGCGTTTCGAATAACAGATGCTGCGCAATGCGTTTCGTTCCACACAAAACGAAGTAAAACGCGTGACTGCTTACACAGAACGCCGTGAAACGCTGTTTTACTGACGAAAACGCGTTAGGCAGACCGTTTCCTTAAAATATTTACTCCATGGGTTATATTTTTCTAGTTCAAAATAAAATAGAAGTATTATTTATATAAATCGTATTTTTCATTTAGATCAATTGTAACAACGAAGTCAAAAGTAGGTATTATATACTTATATATTGTTCTTTCTGCTCTATTTAGTTTAATATGACGTTCAAAATAAAATGCAAATATTATCTGCATTAATAACTATGTTTTTCTGTTTAAATCAATTACAACAAGAAATCAAAAGTAAGTATTGTTTACTTATATGTTTTTTTTGATTTAGGTTAATATGGAGTTCAAAATAATATGTAAGTATTGTTTATATCAATCTTTTTTTTCTATTCAGATCAGTCGCAACAACAAAATCAAAAACAAGTATTATTTACTTATATATCTTTTTTAATTTTATTTAGTTCAATATGGAATTCAAAATATATGTAAGTATTATTTGCAAAAAAAAATCTTCTTCTGTATTTAGACCAATCGCAACAACAACTGAAACAAAAGAAAGTATTATTTTTTTATATATGTTTCGTTTTTTATTTAGGTTAGTATGAAATTCAAAAATAAAATGTAAGTATTATTTATATGTATTATTATCTTTTTCTATTTAGGTCCATTAGAACAAGGAAATCCAAAGTAAGTATTTATTTATATGTATATATTTGTTTTTCTTTATTTAGTGCAATATGAAGTTCAAAATGATATGTAAGTATCATTAACATTAATAATTATCTTTCTGTGTTTAGATCCATTGCAACAAGAAATCAAAAGTAAGTATTATTTACTTATAGATATATTTTTTTAATATTATTTAGTTCAGTATGAAATTCAAAATGATATGTAAGTATTATTTTAAAAAAATCTTCTTTTTTATTTAGACCAAAAGCAATAATGGAAACAAAAGTAAGTATTAGTTTCTTATGTATATATTTCTTTTTTTATTTAGGTAGTATGGAGTTCAAAATAATATGTAAGTATTATTTATCTGTATTATTATCTTTTTCTGTTTAGATCAATTAGAACAAAGAAATCCAAAGTAAGTATTTATTTATATGTATATATTTGTTTTTCTTTATTTAGTACAATATTAAGTTCATAACAATATGTAAGTATTATTTATATAAATTTATTTTTTTTGTTTAGGTTCATCGCGACAAACGCAATCATAAGTAACGCTGGGGACTAATCTTGAGGCACACCATTTCAACCTGTTACTCTTTCCCCTTGCATAACAACAAACAATTTTAGGAAATAGCGGTACCAAAGTTCACAACTATCCATGTTCTTCTAAGCAAAAAACAAATTGTTAGTTCGAATGATACTCCACAATAAATTTTAGATTGTCAAATTAATAAAAAAAATATCTTATTTGGCAGTCTAAACTTTATTGTGGAGTATCATTCGAACCACTTACAATTTGTTTTTTGCTTAGAGGAACATGTACAGTTGTGAGCTTTGGTATCACTGTTTCCTAAAATTCTTTGTTGTTATGCTAGGGGAAAGAGTAACAGGTTGAAATGGTGTGCCTCGAAACTAGTCTCGAGTGTGAGTGTGTTTTATACACTCTTTCCGAAACCCTTGTATGGGTATATGAGTGTTTTCTAAACCCTTATATGGGTTTTTTGAATGTGTCCTAAACCGTTATATGGGTTTATGAGAATTTCCTAAACCCTTATAATGGGTTTATGAGAATTTCCTAAACCCTTATATGGGTTTATGAGTATTTCCTAAACCCTTATAATGGGTTTATGAGTATTTCCTAAACCCTTATATGGGTTTATGAGTGTGTCCTAAACCCTTGGCTAAACCTTTATATGGGTTTATGAACGTTTCCTAAACCCTTTGCTCAATCCCA